AAAGAGAGCATCTCTCCTAGAGCTGGTGCAGACCCCAGCTACAGGCCTGGCCCGTATCTGCTGAGCTGCTCACTCACTCCTGAGAGGTCTGACGTCTGGAAAGTTCTGTGTGTCCGCACTATCTCCTGCCCGGGAGCCCCTGACACAGCAGCAAGAGAAGCAGCTGCCCCCACTTCCGGGCCACAAACCCCAGAGGGTGGAGCTGATGGTGCTTCAGGAATCTCTGCATCCTGCTGGAACTGAGTCACACCTCAGGGAGACAGAGGGACGGATGGCAGCTCTGAACCAACACACGTTTGGGAGAGGCTGTGGTCAGCTGTCAGCATGGAAGCAAAGAATAAGCTACTCTAAACTCGCAGCCTGGGAACCACAGCCCATCACGACGCAAACCCTACCAAAGAGTTGGACTCTGCACCCCTCCAGTTCTTCCTGACACCTGGCATCCACGACCCAGAAAATGAAACAAAGGACACGACTGCATTCAGGGACCAGATGGCTACAGGCAGAGAGAGGAAGAGCATCAGGTTAAACAAAGGAGGGCGCCTTTCCCCGAGGCACCCAGCTCAGGGGGGAATGGGGAATGGTTGGCACAGACCCGTCACATTACCAACGTGTGAACAAGTCAGGCTTGGAAACACACTGCTCTAGACCCCAGAGCTAATACAGGGGTTCAGTCGCTCACTTTGCATGTGGCTTACCCCAGTTCCATCCCTGACACCGCATATGGTTCCCCCAGCACTACCAGGAGTGATCCCTGAGCACCACTGGGCATGGCTCCCAAAGCAAACACTGTCACTGTCACTGTCCTATTGTTCATTGATTTGCTTGAGCGGGTCCAGTATTGTCTCCATTGTGAGATGTTGTTACTGTGTTTGGCATATCGAATATGTCACGGGTAGCTTGCCAGGCTTTGCCGTGCGGGCGAGATACTCTCCGTAGCTTGCTGGGCTCTCCAAGAGGGATGGAAGAATCGAACCTGGGTCGGCCAGTTTGGCCACATGCAAGGCAAATACATTACCTGCTGTGCTATTGCTCATGAGCCAAATCAGTCAATACACCCACCTGCTGCTCTGGTGGTGGCAGCTGCTCCTACTGACATCGTGGCTGCCTTAGACCCCTCATGAAGCTCAAGTTCATCAAGAGGATTAAGTCCATCCAGTGACTGGTAGAAACTGAGGCCCGCTGACCACAGGTGGGCAGATGATCAATCCTGGGGTGCAGCCTGGACCACGAGGGCACCAGGGAGACAAAGCATCAGCTGGCCAGCAGCTTCCCAAAACTCTGGCTCCCAATATCAAGGGCTCATGGTGTAAAGAACTTCCTGAGTTTGCTCCCCACGCACCCTCCAAGAATGCATGTCGTGTTGGAAAGAGCGGTTTGTCATCCTGATTCCAGGAGAGCAGCAAAGCAAATGGACCCACAACTCATGGGCACACTCTTCTTTTTTTTTTTTTTACTTTTTGGGTCACACCTGGCGATGCACTGGGGTTACTCCTTGTTCTGCACCCAGGAATTACTCCTGGCAGTGCTCAGGGGACCATATGGGATGCTGGGAATTGAACCCGGGTCCACCGCATGCAAGGCAAACGCCCTACCCACTGTACTATTGCTCCAGCCCCCATCCTGAGCACATTCTTATATTGTGTTAATTACCGCAGAAAAAGGCCAACAGCAAACACTTAAACTCCCTGCTAACAGCAGGGTTCCCAGATGAATGTAGGGAGGAGGAGGAGAAAGCAGAGGTGGTGCGTGCAGAGTCCAGTTGGACCGCACTAAGGCAGAAAGTGCCGTGGATGTTCTGAGAATGAGGGAAACTTGGCATGTGGGCAGCAGCAAACAAGGGTCAGCTGTGCCTTGTCCGCTTCGGCTGGTGCGTTGGCCGTGGACATGAGGCACTGCTCGGAGAGATGTGGAAGGTACAATGCCTCCTGCAAATATTTAGATGGAAAGAAATTAGAAGAGAACCAGAATCAAAGGGAAGCAAGATTGTCAATCCAGAACTCCAGGTTTTGACAGAAAGAAGGCTCTTGTTTTGTCCTTGTCCAATCCCTGGCACAACCATATGGTCCTCAGAGTACTACAAGGAGTGACCCCTGAGCACAGGTCCTGAGCACCACTGGGTGTGCCCCCAAACCACCACCCAAACAAAATAAATTCAGGTTCTGAGTGTGGTCAGAAGAGCGACGGGTTAGAGGGGAAGGTGAATTGGCTTTTGGATATTAAAGTTGGACTTTCACAGGGACCCTTTGGCTAGAAGAGTTCCTCACACACAGGGGAAATATTGCAGATTGCGCTCACCTTCCGGGCCCTTGGCTTTCTGAGGTTCCTCTGGCCACACATATCAGGCCTTGGAGTTTGTATTGGTTTTCTTTGAATGTTCCCGTAGGAGTCTGACACGCTCAGGACCCCACTGACCTGGACCCGTTCAGGATGAACCCCCTGACCTGAACCATCCTGCTGGAGAGATGGTTGGAGTCCCCTGTTATCATCCTCAAAGGTCAGAGGGTCAGAGAGGGGATGGGAGGGGCTGAGAGAAGGGGCTGCCCAGAAGGCTGCAGGGACACCAAAGGGACGCTGAGCACAGGCGCTGGGACTTGGCTGGCCCTTGAGGAGTGATTGCTTTCATGGGGCACCCTGGGAGCAGGGGGCAGACCTGGCTGGAACAAAGGCTTGAAAGACACATGTGCAGTAGGCTACCAGGACTGGGAGGCCCCCAAATCTTGTGCCACTGCCCTTCCGCTTGGGCCTTCCGGGGGACTCCAAGCCCTGTGCTGACAGCTCTCAGTCGATTTCCAGCTCCTTGGAGCTTTGCTGGGGTCTTTCCCGCATCCCATTCTCTGGGTGGTGAATGTCAGTATGGTCCAATGCCAGGAACTGGGCCAGTGGCCACCCGGACATTTTTAATTTATTTTGGTTACTCCCCCCACCCCACCCCCCTTCTCGAAATCACCGCGGCTCTTCCTAGAGCATCAAAGGGAGGGAATCCCGAGGAGAGCTCGCTCCCCTCCCCCCTCATTCCCCCAGGAGGAAATCTCCAAGCCAAGCAGAGCCCGGGTCTGTTATCTGGGCGCCGGAGTCAAAGGTAAAGATGACTTCATTCCCCAGAGGGCGCCCGGGCGTCGGAGCAGCGGATTTGGCCGCAACTGAGCTCCGCGATTCGGGATTCTTCTCTCTCTGCCCGGTATCTAAAGCCTCTGGGGCGCTGCAGGGAGAGAGTGTGTGTGTGTGTGTGTGGGGGGGGGGGGGGGGCAGGGGGATGCAGACGCGGAGACTCCACTGTCCTTCCACCCCACCCCGACGACAGCATCTGCCCCGGTCATTGGCGGGGGAAGGGGTCCTTGTTTGAATTGCACTTAAAGGCAGCGCGAAAGTTTCTGTTCCCACCGTCGGTTGCCCGGGCCGAGGGACAAGCTGACCTCTGGGCAGCGCGGGCCGAGCCAGGCGGGCTCGGTGCGCTCGAGGGGCCGCCCAGAGCTCCCAGAGAAACCCCGGGGTGCGGAGCGCGCGCGCGAGGAGGTGCGAGTGCGCACGGGTACGCGCGCGCGCGGGGATGCGCCCGCGAGGGGGGGACCCTGGAGACGGCTGCAGAGGCGTCTTTGTGACGCCTCCAGAGTTCCACTCGGACCCCCGGCTCTCCGGCTCTCCTTCCCAGTTCATAGAGCGCTGTCCACCACCCTCCCACCGTCCCCAACTTCCCTGGGTGGCCGATCAGCGGGCCCCGCGCCAGTCTTTTTTTGGGGGGAGGGGGCAGCCGGGAGCGCCCGTGCCCCGCAGCGGCTCCCAGGCCCCCCGAGGGCCCCGCGCAGGTGAAGGTGAGCCGCAGCGCCGACGTGGGAGCGGGTGGGAGGAGGAAGGGGCCGAACAGGAAAGGGCGTGTTGGCCTCTGCTGCGGCCGCGGGGAGCCGAGTCTGCAGCTTTGTTACCTGAGGCCGCCGCTGCGCTCCGCCCCGCGACGCCCAGCCCCCTCGCGGTCCAGGGCCGCCCGGGCTGCAGTGACCCGCCGGGAGGCCGCGGCGCCGGGACTCCCGGGAGCACCGAGCGCGGGTGAGTGCTGGCAGCCGCGCCGCTCCGGCCCGGGCGCTGGGAGCCCGATGCCCCTCGGCTCCCGACCACCGTGGGGGGAGGGAGGGAGGGGACGGTCAGCTCGGACCTGGGCTGCAGCGCCGAGAGGAGTCGCAGAGTTTCGGCCGCCTCTGCGCTTCCCTGGGACGTCTGGAGAGACCCCCCCTGCACGCCCCAGCTCCCCCTCCCCAGCCCCCCTCCGCCGGTTTGGGTGGGTGGCGGCGCTGCCCGCGGTCACAGGGGACAGCGATCGGGGTCCCGGTGTGGGACCCGCGTCCGGAGAATGAAGTGGAGCCGGGGCCGCGTCCGGGTTGGAGGCGGCGCCGCGGGTTTAGCTGAGCCGCCGGGATCCGCGGGATGCCCGCAGGTCCGAGAGCGCACAACTGCGGGCTCAGCGCTGGGGCCCCGAGCCGCCCGCGCTGATAGGGTGGGGTGCGGGGTGAGGGTGCGGACCCACGGCGTGGGGTGACTGCGAGTGAGGGGGGGGGCTTTTTTCCTCGTCCTCGCACGCTGATTCCGCGCGTGCCAAGTTCGGGTTGCAAGTTGCGCCCTGCGTTTGTGGAAGTTTGTGGGAGGAAGCGGGTGGGCTGCCGGCGGAGGTGGGGGGCGGGGGGGGGTCTTCTCGGCCTGGAGTTTGCAGCGTCCGACCAAACCCCGGGAGGCTCCCGAGCCCGGTGTTCCGCGGCGGCCCGTGGCCCAGCCGCAGTGCGGTCGTGTGCGGTCCGCCCCGCGTCCCGGACGCCCACCCTGGTCGTGGAGGGGTGACGCGGCGGATGCTCGAGGAGGGAGCGAACCCCTTTCGCTTCCAGCACAGACACCGTTCCCGCTGAGCGCGCCACCCCCTCCCCGGGACCTCGGCTGGTTGGGAACTGTGTGCCCCGACACTTGGGGGAATCCGCCAGGAAGGGGGGACGCAGGCCCTCGGGGCTTGTCCAGCAGCCGGGCGACCCCCTGAGGCCGGTGGGAATCCCCGGGAAGCGGACGGGCCAAGGCCTCCCCGGCGTGGGCGCTGCGGACCCCGCTGTCCCCGCACGGCCGCGGGTAGCCGCTCCCCACCCCGGGTGGCCCGCGCGGCGCGTGTGGGCGTCTATCTGGGGTGCGCAGGGCGCCCCCACCCTCGCCGCCCCTCCCGCGTGGCCCCGATAAGGACGCCGCTGGGGGCTGGCTCGCCGCCACGGGGACTTCTCCCTTTGACCGTCGCCGGACGCGGAACCGACCTCCGAGCCTCGGACGCGGCCGAGCGGCCTTTTGTGTGGCCGAGCCGGTGGCGCGGGGTGAGTGGCGCGGGCGGGAAGCGGCGTCCGGGCGGAGGGCGCGGGGGGGGGGACGCGCGGCGCGTGCGGACCTTTGGGGAACAGATTGCACCAGGGCCTCTGAAGAGCAGCTTTGCAGAGCCTGTTGGCCGAGATCATCCCCTGCCTTCCCGGGACGGGCGGGCCACGGGGCAGAGCATCCTTTGCCGCCGGCCTCTGCTCTGGGGACCTTGAGAGAGGATCCGGCGCCGCGTCTCTCTGCCCGCGGCCCTGCAAGGCTGCTGTCGCGCTGCAGATCGGTCGCCACCGCGCGGGCTGAGAATAGGCACCACCGGCCAGTGCGGGTGTCATCGCTTTTGATAATCAGGAGAGCATTTGTTAAGGTGGCCGGCACCAGCCCGCTCCCCGGGAGTTAAGAGAACAGGAATTCTCTTTCGTAGATTTGCTGTCAGGCTAAGCGCTTGTCTTGTCCAAGGCGCACGGGCACCCCAGATGCGTCTTGGGGCCCCCACTCAGGGGTAAACCCTGAGTGCAGAGCCAGGAGTAGTCCGTGAGTACTGCAGGGTTCCCCCGCCCCAATAATAATAGAATTGCCTCCCCAGCCCCTCTCCTCCCCCAAACCCAACTTGCTCTGGTCCCAGTTTGTCATCACAGGGGTGTGGCCGGCCCCTCCTGCGCCCTCCTCATCTCCCGTGCGCGCCTGGAATCCAGGGGAAAGGTGTGTTGGCGCTGGGTGCTTACTTTTGGTTTCTGTTGATCTCCGCGGTGAGTGGGGAGAGCTCTGGGCTTGGAGCTGCGGCCAGTGCTTGTTTTCCTCCTCTGCCTGCTCCCGGCCCTGCCTCCCACTCCCCCCAGAGAGGCCTGCAGGTGGCAGAGGGCAGAGTCATGCCAGCTGCTGATTCCCCTGTTATGTCTGCCCTCCCGAGCTGCCCAGGGTGGCGCTGGGGCTTAGGACCCAGTTCCCGTGCAGGGAGGCTTGGCCCCTACCACTTGTTCAGTCGGAGCCTAGGAAGGACCAGGGGACTTCCTGGAAGACTCCTAAGGAACATTCTAAGACTGGATATTTGGGGGGTGGGGGGGGGGTGCGCCCAGCCGTGCTCAGACTTTGCGCTTTTGGCTTTGCACTTCAGAATCCCTCCTGGTGGTGCTCAGGGAACTATGTGAGGTGCTGGAGTTGAACTAGGATCAGCTGTGTGCAGGGCAAGCTCCTTAGCCTGCCCTCTCTCCCCCTGGCCCCTGAGACTTGATTTCTAACCAGTGAAAGGCTCTGGGCACCATCCCAGCTTCCTCTACCAAAGTGCTACCAAGTCAGAAGATGCTAAACTGAATTTCACCCCCACCCCCACCCTCCCGGCTCTTTAACTTGCCTCTGATGGGCCCTGCTCAGCCCTCAGGGCCCTTGACGAAGAGGTATCTGCCAGGCTGCTGTCATCCTCAGAGATTTTCTGCACCACCCCCGTTTACCCCGGGCTGAGAGTTGGTTAGTCCTCGAAGGCTTCCTTCCTCACAAGGCTGAGGTGAGATGTTAAGTACAAGCCTGTTTGTGTGTCCCAGGCAGATGGATGGGAGAGGGATGTTTTCCAGCAGCACCAATGCTCATCCCAGGGTCCCTTTGGGGGTGCTGTGCCGCCGGGCTTTTCAGCGCGCTGTCCCCTGCTTTGCCCAGGCTGCAGGGAGAGGAGGTACTTGCATCCGAGCACAGCCAGTGCCCCTGTGTGCCCTCCACTTCCCTGTCTTGCACAGAGGCAGGGCAGGAAGGGTTAGAATGCAGCCTGCACGCTCCCTCTCCTACCCCCCTTATTGACACTGGAAATCCTTTGCCTGGGGAAGGCATCTCAAAGCGCCATTGAAGCCAGAGGGGAAAGCATTAGCATCTTAGCTAATCATTGCTGGGGAACTTATTCATTCCAAGCTGTTGGGGGCCTGGGACCCTTGTATGTTACCCTGGGAAAAAAAAAGAGCCAGACATCATACCAGAAACAACGCTGTAAATTTTCCTTTGAAAATTGGAAAAGCCATGTTCCCTCTCTGGATGGCCCGGGGGTGTGCTAAGGCAGAGTAAAGCAGAGCCCCTGCCTGTCTTATTTTACCTGGACACACTTTCCCAGGGCCTTTTCTGGATACTGTACCGTGCTCTTGCAGACTTGCACCCTTTCTCCTCGGTGTGGGAGGGTAGCAAGTGGCTTGGAAAAGAAACAGGTTGGATTTTCTCACCCTTGGTCTGTTTTGTGCGGCCTCGGTGGCACGTCTGTGCATATACCTCGGCAGTGTTGAATGAGTTCCTCGCTTTCTAGGATGGAGACTTTTCTCAGCTTATCTCTGTTCTCAGGGATAATCTATTGGCCAGTCAGCATATCTGGAATTGGAAGTTGAATTGGAGGATTAGCAACGCTCCCACACATGAGATATTTTATGAACAGAAGTATGTTAAAGTATGTAAGACCGAACTGCCAAGATTACTTGCACGGTCTTGAAAAAAAGAAGAGTTCAAATATAACTATAAACTGTAATTGACAATGAGTCATTTGCTTTAGGGGTGCCAACTATGAAAACAGCCTAGTTATGCCCCTAATGATAATTATGAAAACTCCTTTTAAAAGCCAGTTGCATCTCAAGTGAGATGTAAGTTGGCTTGGATAAATATTTTAAGTTTTACTTTCTACAGAATTAGCCACTTGGTGATGATATACAATACTGTGAATGTACTGTGTGCTGCCGATTTGTACACTTGAAAATGGATAAAAAAAAAATTGTAAAAAGGAGAAAGGCAGCAGCATCAGTGAATGAAAATGCTATTTTATACCCATAGATGTACAGGACTTAAATATTACAATGTTTCTTAGAAACATATTTTTGTAATTTAACATAAAAGTCTTTTGGTAGTATTGAAAAAGGACAAATTCTACAAACCTGTTAAGTTAAAAAAAAATGAAGGCTGAAAATATTCACGGTATGTTTCTAGCAGCTAAGGTGACTTAGCACTTTATCTGTAAACACACACATATGTATTTGTGATGCTGGGGATTGAGCCCAGGGCCATAAATAAGTACAGTAGGTACACATCCCTAGCCCCCAGTACATAGTTTAAAGAAATTGGAACGCCTGGTAAACAAAGAGAAGTCATATACCCAAGTGGTACCAGTTGTTATTAATAATAGCTAACTATGGACTGGTAAGGAAGGCCTGGTCATGCATTAGCTCGTTTGTTCTTGCAAAAACCAATGAAACAGGTGTACCCTTCTATTATAGATGCTCTGCTGTAATGGAAGCTCCATAACCTTCCTCGTTCACCCGAGGCTAAACGCCTAAGATATTGCCGAGCAGTGGTGTGAGGAGAAGCGATCTGTTTCTGGAGTCTGCACTCTTCCTCCTGAGGGGATTCTGCCTTAGGGTGGTTTGGAGTGAAGCCTCTCACACCTCTGGGTTGGTGGTGTTCAGCAGTGTAGCTGGGTGATCGGTGCTGCTGTTAATTTGTGCAAATGAGCTTGGACAGGAGCCGGTAAGATTGTCTGGGCCCATGTAGGACCAGCACCACGCGATCCTTCTAGCATCACCAGGGATAGCCCTGGAGGCCCCTGAAGCCAGATATTACAGGTCCTCAACAGCTCTGTGTCCTTGGGCCTTAGCACTGAGTCACAGATTGGTTGGCCAGGCCCCATGGGTTGTGATCTCTGGGTGCCCTGAACATTGCTTGGGAGACCCCCACTAACCTGCAAAAAAAAAAATTACCCTTTGAATTCCACTGTAAATTTTTTCAGTTGTTGGGGGTGGGGAGGTGGGGGGGGTTCATGTAGAAGTTAAAGAGACCATAGGAATTAGGGATCCAGCCCAGAGCCTGTCACAAGTAAAGCCTATGCGTGTTCCCTGCGCCGGTCCCCAAGGAAAACCTCTCCATGTGACCTTTTGGTTTGGAAGATCACCCCCTTTTCAGACATCCACATAATTGGGGTGCTCACTCCAGTGCAGTGTTTCCCAAAGCTGGTGATGCCCCCCCCCGGGGTGCTCCAATGATGGTGGAGCACCGTAAGAGTGCTGGTGGTAGCTGTACAATGGGGGTACAGTAGAGGGGCTCTGTTTGGTAGAATTTGGGGGCTGGAGAGATAGTACAGTAGGCAGGGCCCTTGCCTTGCACACAGCCCACCCGGATTTGATCCCTGGCACTGCAGAAGCTCTCTGGGGCCCTCCCTGGAGTGATCCCTGGGCAGAGTAAGCCCTGAGAACCTCTAGGTGTTACCTCCCCCATAAAAAGTGAATTTCTAGAGGAGGCACTAAATATTTTTTTCTGAAGTAGGGGTAGGAGGCCACATAAACTGAGCTACCTCTGATCATTGTGTCCCCTCTGGCACCTGGCCTCACGGCTGACGATATGCTGAGCCCTACCCTAGAAGGTCCACCACAGCCCCACCCCACACCGGCCTCTAAAGAGCAAAGCCACCAATACAGGCCCCAAAGGAAGCCGGTGCCTTGGGCGGGCGCTGGGCAGTGAGCCTCCGGCCTTCTGCTCTGCACCAGGCGTTGCCGTAGACCAGAGGCAGGTGGGAGGGTGAGGTGGTTTCCCAAGAGCCGTGCAGCAAGAATGCAGAGTGATAGCATCGCAGGCCGCTCAATGTTTCCCAACCTCCTGGTCTTCCCGATGAGGAAACCGAAGTCCAGGCCCTGGGATGACGTGTCTCCGGGGGCGCCTCTAATCTCCGTCTCTAGGGTGCTTTTCTCTCTGGGATGGGGAGCCCCATCTCCCAGGGCGGCAAGGAGCTGGGCCCCGACTCCAGGGCAGTGAGCTGGACCAGATCTTATCATGTTCCAGGCTTCCACTGACCAGACTTGAAGGTGTCCTTTGGCCCACAGCTCCGCCCCGGGGGGACAGGTCTGGGCTGGAGGTGGCAGGGGCCAGGTCAGCCTCAGGACCACCTCCTGAGGGGCTGGCGGGTTCCAGCAGGGGAGCAACAAACACAGTAGTGAGGAAAACACTAATTCATTCACTGAAAAAGACCCTGCAGAGCTTCTAGGAGGTTCCGGGGATGTCTGAGCCTTATCAGTGGGTGGGAGCTTGTTAAAAGGGCTCATGGCCAGCATTTATAGGCAGCTGCTCCCAGTGTGAGATTCATTCCTTCCTTCCTTCCTTCCTTCTTTCCTTCCTTCCTTCCTTCCTTCTTTTCTCTCTTTCTTTTTTTCTTTCTTTCTTTCCTTTTTCTTTTTTCTCTTCTTCCTTTTTTCTTTTCTTTCTTTCTCTCTTTTATCTCTCTCCTTTCTTTTTCTCTTTACTTTCTTTCTCTCTTCCTTTTCTTTCTCTCTTTTCCTTCCTTTCCCTTCCTCTTCTCTCCCTTTCTCTTCCTCTTCGTCCTTCCCTCTCTCTTTCCCACAGGCACTCTCTCTCTCTCTCTCTCTCTCCCTCCCTCCTTCCCTCTCTCTCCCCCTCCCTCGCAGTGCTCAGGGGCTATTCCTGGCTCTGTGCTCAGGAGTGACTCTGGTGGGCCACGTCTGGTGCTGCGGACCGCAGGCGATCCGACCACCTTCCCCCTGTGCCATCCCTCGGTCCCCACCTGCCCCCTGCATCCGAGGACATTTTTCTGCCCTGACCTAAGGTGTCTTTGCCTTGGCAGGTTTTGGAAGATGACCCCCAGCAGGGTGACCTCCAACGCTGTCTGCACACTGGCCGGAGAGAAAGTGTGAGCTGGTGTCACGTCAGTGTCTGGTCCCCCCCAATGCTGGCGCCCTCCCCTCGAGGACGGCCCAAGTACTATGCATGTGATGAACTGTGTCTCCCTGGTCAGCGATAAGGAAAATGGGGCTCCCGCCTCCGCAGCTGGATTCATGATCAGCCAAACCCCGCCCCCGCCGCCGCCTCCCCCCACTCCTCCACCATGTCCTTCGCCTGCGCCTCCCCCCCCACCTCCCCTCCCGGGGGGGCCTCCCGCCCCCCCTCCCCCGCCCGGACTGCCTCCAACCTCGCACGTGAACGGCCACCTGGGGAAGAAGAAACGGCTGCGGAGCTTTTTTTGGAAAACCATCCCCGAGGAGCAGGTGCGCGGCAAGAACAACATCTGGACGCTGGCGGCCCGGAAGCAGCAGCACTACCAGATCGACACGAAGACCATCGAGGAGCTGTTCGGGCAGCAGGACGGGACCCCCAAGGTCTCCCCTTCCAGGCGAGGGGCGGCGTCCCACTCGTCCTTCCGAGAGGCGAGGGAAGAGGTGAGTGGCTCCTCTCGCTGGCCGCCGGGGTGCGTGTGCGCATTGCAGACTTGGCCTGGACCGCCGAGAAGGGAGATGGGCGAGGGACAGTGCTCGGGGAGCCTCGGGGGAAATGCCGTGGCTGGTGAGCTGGACAGAGGAATGGAGTCTCCCCCCACGGGCCTGAGCTCACATGGAGAGTTGACTTTGGGAGCCAAGGGTGTCCCTGCCTCAGCACTGGGGTGCTCAGCACCTCCTCTGGCTGTGCCCACCCACTGCCCGAATTCAGTTCTCTGAGATTTAGTGGAGCTTTGGGGCGACTCAGTGCCTCGAGTTCCAAAGTTCCACCGTCAGGACACATCCTCTGGGTTACTACTGTTGTAAGGCTGACTCCTGGCTCTGTGCTCAGGTGTTCTTCCTGGTGGAGCTCAGAGGACCCTAGGGGGCCTAGGGATCAAACCTGGGCCACTGCCTGCAAGGCTAGCCTGACCCACCCTACTCTCTTTTCAGCCTGTGAGTTTTTATTTTCATGCTTTTCCCTGTTTTCCTTCACGTGTTTGTCATGCCTCAGTTCTCTGGTCTGGGGGCTGTGGACAGATTTTCCAAGCCTGGAGATGGAAAGTTCTTCCCAGAGGTGTGGGTGGGGGATCCTTTTAGGAAGGTCCCTCTGACAGCGACACTAACATCATGGTGCATCCCAGACACAGCTTGCTCACTCGGGGGCATGGAAACTGAGTCAGAACCTGCGGCTATAGGCTGGGGAGAGAACTCAAAGGGAAGGAACATGTGCCCAGCACCCCAAGTTTTGTTCCCAGTACCACATGGCCCCTGAGCACTGCCGGGTGGGGCCCTGGAGTGCCAGCACCACATGGCCAGCCTGAGCTCTGAAACAGAGAGTGACCCCCGGGCCCCAGCAGTGCTGGGGAGCCCCCCGACCCCGCCAACCCCAAACCTGTCCTTAGAGTTCCTCTGTGTTCACAGGGATGAAAGTCGGGTCAAAAGTCTCAGTTTGGGGCTGGAGCAATAGCACAGCGGGTAGGGGGCCGGCCCGAATTCGGTTCCCAGTATCCTATATGGTCCCCTGAGCAGCGCCAGGAGTAATTCCTGAGTGAAGGGCCAGGAGTAACCCCTGTGCATCGCCGAGTGTGACCCAAAAAGCAAAAATAAATAAATAAATAAATAAATGAAAGTCTCTGTTTGCCAGGAGAAATGAGGAAGGCGGGCATGAGGGGGGAGAGAGCGCTCCTGGAGGTGTGCTCGCACTGGCGCAGCTACACAGGCGCGCACATGCGCACACGGGGATAGAAGCGCTTGGCCTTTCGTGGGGCATCCAGGAGCAGAGAAAATAGGTCAGAGATGGAGTCGCTGAGATAAGCCTGGGCAGGGCTGGGACGGAGCAGCCGCTCTGCTGATGGAGCCCTTTGGTGGCGGAATTGGCCCTCCTGCTCCTTTGACGCAGCAGTGCCACCCCTTCTCACAAACTAACAAAGTGATGCAAAGGTTTAACCACGAGAGGAAGCAGGACCAGGGAGCACTGTGACTCCTGCAGAGACGCAGAAGCAGAGGTTGGGGTGGGGCGGGGTGGACAGGAGAGAGAGAGTTCAGGGCTTTTGCCTTGCGTGTGGCTGACCCCGGTTCTAATTCCTGATGGCCTTATATAATGGTGCCTGAGCACCAAGCAGGAGTGATCCCAGAACACAGAGCCAAGAGTAGTTCCTGAGCACTGCTGAGAACCACCCCAAATGTCTCCCTCCCACAAAAAAAAAAAAAAAAAGGAAAAAAGGCAGAAACTGGATATAATTAAAGGGGAAAAATCTTTGTCCTCACCTTCATCCACCCCATGCCCGGAGTAAATTCTCTACTTCTTACTTTTTACCTTTTGCCCCTACCCCTAACCCTCTTCTGACCTAATAGCTCAGTGGTGAGATGCTGGCGGCCATCAGAGCGGGGCCTGGTCATGCATGGGGAACTGTGCAGTGTTGGGGATCGAACTCGGGATCTCTGGAGAGCAAGACAGATGCTCCAGCCTTTTGAGTTACCCCACACACACACATCCACCTCTATCCTCTTTGTATTTCCCCTTTTAAAAAAGAAGCAAATGTGGGAAGAAAATCATTGTTAGTTTATTGGTTTGGGGGCCACACCCAGTGGTGCTCAGGGGCGAGTCTCAACTTGGGAAATCCGGGCTTGGGTGAGTCCTGGCTGGGGGGGTGGGTCACTCCTGTTGATATTGGGAAGAGCCTCTGGCCCTTTGAACCATCTCCCGGCCCCTGATCACCGTGTTTCATTGTGATAAGACACATAACCCATCATCACCAGGAAAAAAATTTTCATCCTCTGCCCTTCTCCCTTTTGTTGCCTTGCTGTGATGGCCAGAGGCTCCCTCCACACCCCCTCACCCCCCATGCCTGTAGGCTGCCTCAGGCAGCAAGTTCTCAGTCTCAAGTTTGGCTTTGGCACTTTGTCGTTGAGCTATGCCAGCCCTGCCCCCAGATTAACCGTTTCTCAGTGTACGCCTGGGTGGCAGCAGGGCATCCGCAGGGCTGTTTAGCCATCCGTGCCATGCACACACAGCCCTATTCTCTGCATGCAACCCTGGACTGTGCCCATTTGAACACTGAGCCCCGTTGCCCATGTTCCATGCTGCTTCCTCTCCCGGCTCCTCTAGGGACCTCACCAGAGAGGAACCGCAGAGCTCGTCTTACTGTGAATTTGCGAGATGTCTTCAGGGTCCATCCCTGTCCAACACCATCTTCCATCCCATGTCTACACTGCCCTTCTATCCTCTGTCTGCACTATGCTGTGTTTGTCTATTATGGTTTTGTTTGGGGGCCACACTAGTGGTGCTCCGGGCTTACTCCTGGCTCTGTGCTCAGGGGTCACTCTTGGTGGGCTCAGGGGATCCCACGGGGTGCTGGGATGGAACCTAGGTTGGCTACATGCAAAGCAAGTGCCCTCCCCTCAGTACTACAGCCCCATGCTGTGTTTATCTCATTATTCCCCCACCCCACCCCCCTTCCATAGACTCTTGAGTTGCTGTTGCATGAATCTGGTTGGCTGGGGAGAGTGCAGACGTCTTTCTCCATTGATGCAGACAGATACTAATCCAGCACCGCCTTCTGCACCGCAGTGGCTATGTGGCCAGAGAGGAGGGACTCAGCTCGCTCCGTGGGTTATGACAGAGAGATGGGGTTAGTGCCTCTCAGCTCATAATTGCATTACAAAGGATTCTCCAGAATATTTTTTTTGAGGGGAGGGTGTGGCCTTCCAAGAGGTGCTCAGGAGTTTTTTTTTTTTTTTGGGTCACACTCAGCGATGCTCAAGGGTTACTCCTGGATTTGCATTCAGGAATCACTCCTGGCGGTGCTCGGGGGACCATATGGGATTCTGGGAATTAAACCTGGGTTGGCCGCATGCAAGGCAAACACCCTACCTGCTGTGCTATTACTCTAGCCCCAGTGCTCAGGAGATCTTGGGGGCCATTGGTGGCCCTTGGTCAACCAGGCCATGGGTGCTGTAGCAGAGGACTCAAGCATACGATGCTGAGGATATTCAGGTCACCCCCGGGTGCTCTGGGGCTGCACCCAACAATGCTCAGGGGACCTTATGGTGCCAGAAATCGAACTGTTGTACTATCTCCTAGCCCCTCTCCAGAATTATTCTCTTCATGTTTTCTCTAATATGGCTAGAAATTGATCCTTTCACTGGTAAAAAAAAAATATGATACACACTGTCTCCTTCCCTCACTCAATTTTCTTCTGAGAAGTTTCAGTTGAGCAGACAGCCTCATGCCCCTCCTGTAAGGCTTAGTTGGTGCCGGGCATGTGATGCTGCATCCTTGGCACCTGCCCTCACGGGTTGCAGGATCCCTGAGCAGCATGCTTGGCAGAGGGCCAACCCCCACGGGGGAGACACAGCACCCCAGCCGGGGTCCTCGCAGGCCACAGGAGTGGGGGTGCCAGCCGCGCTGCTGTCGCCCTGAAATAGAATCGCCTCCTCCAGAAACGACCTGCTATTATGTGGTTGGCTCCGACTTTCAAAAGGCTTATAAAGCATTACAGATAAATTCCACTCTCCTGCAGAAGAAGCTGCTGGAAGGTTGGAAAGATGTGGGCTTGGGAATGGCTGAGCTCAGGACGAGAAACACTTAAAATATGAAATGAGAATGTATAATTGCGGGGGACAGAGAGGGAGGAGGCTAGGCATTGTCCTGTGCTTGTAGCTCTGTTGCCTAAAAGTTACCCTGGAGATGTCCCATGGCAGGATAATAATTAAGCTATAATATAGTCATTAGAAATGACATGTATTTTACTGGCAATCATAATAAGAAGGTTCAGCTCAAACGCCACCTTTTCAGAGCACTGGTGCTTACCCAGCTCCTCATCTGTTCATTACTGCACCTCCTTAGTCCCTCATCCCCACCACAAACCCCCCACCCAGAACTTCCCCTTTTGGCTGGCTGGGTCTGTACTAGACTCCTGTAGATTCTGAAACGCTCTTGTTGGCCATTTCTCATGAGAGATAATGGTGTTAGACAGAACCAGACCAGCGGGCAAAGGATCTGTAATGTGAGGCGTCAGTAGGGTGGGAAATGGAAACAGATATGGTCCATGATGTCTGTGGAACTGTCACTTTGACCGTATTGGAAATAATTGTATCATTAGGGCCAAAGAGACTGTACATTGGGCAGGGCGCTTGCTGGCTGTGCACAACACTGACCCGCATTCTGTCCTGGGCATGTGCTCCCCTGAGCACCATCAGGAGAGATCCCTGAGCACTGCTGGGTGTGGCTTCAAAGTCAAAAATAACAAACTAAGATCGCTTATCAGAAAAGGAGAGGCAGGAGGCAGGAGGATGGGAGGAAGACTGTTTTATCTAAATTTATGAGAAGTCATGTTTTACGCCTCCACACTCTACTTCAGGCACCCATCATTCTTTTTCAGCTTGTGTTACAATCACAGAATGTTCTAGAATTCTGGGTCATGCCCACAATGCAGAACTTGGTGGAGTAGTTGAAATAC